TGTGTGTGTGTGTGTGTGTGTGTGTGTGTGTATAAAAACACAATGGATTTATTCTTCTTTTTGGGGGGGAAGGGAGAGGGAGGCTGGAACTATAATGGACATTCACAGCCCAATCCCACTACTGATCAGCATGGAAGCTTTGCCCCTTTCAATTTCTGACCTAGGCCAACTCACCCATCCTTCAGTGGCCTGGTGAGCCCCCTCACCCTGGGGCTCACCATATTGGTGAATGACTCAGCACAGACACCCAACTGACTTTAGCTCTACTTCAGATCATAACCCTAAGCTTAAGTGATCTACCAGCCTCAGTAGCAGAAATTATACCTGTATACCATCACATCCAGCTATCCCTCCATTCTTGAATATGTCCTATTACTAAACTTAGATCAAGAGTTATGTGCTCTGGTACACAGGAACAGCAACACTGTATGATCACTAACTTTGATAGATGATAGACTTAGCTCTTCTTAGCAATGCAAAGATCTAAGACCATTCCAGAAGACTCAGGATGGAAAATGCTATCCACATCCAGAGAAAGAACTATGAAGTCTGAATGCAGATTAAAGTATACTATTTGCTTTTTTTTTTCCTTCTTTCTCATGGTTTCTCCATTGTTTCTAATTCTTCTTTATGACATGACTAATGTGAAAATTGTTTAATATGAATGTATATGTAGAGCCAATATCAGATTGCACGCTGTCTTGGGGAGGCGGAGAGAGAAGGGAGGGAGAGAAAATTTAGAACTCAAAATCTTATGGAAGTGAATGTTGAAAACTAAAAAAAAATAAAGTTGCTTCTACATATTAAAAAAAAACGTTATGTGCTCAAGTTTGAAAAGGCTTTCAACTATCCCTGCCTATCAGGCATTCTTTGGTCTTTACAATGATGAATGCTTTAAAGCAGAGGCTTTTAACCTGGGGTTCGTGAACTTGGGTGGGGGAAAAAAAATTAAATCTTTATTTTCACTAACCTCTAACTGAAATTTTGCATTTCCTTCTACAAACTACAGCAGTATTAACAATATCTGTGACACTGTCACAAATAGGAATCATAGATATTTTCATATCATATTACAGTTGCTGTAGATCTTAAAATAATTTGCACTAAACACTACTTAAAAATTACTATAGTTCTAGGACTTGACACTAGATCATACATGATCAGTCTTTTTTTCTACAGACGATATCTCAATGTAATTTGTTTCCTTTGTAATCACATGTATTTTATTTTATTCATTTAAAAGCATTATTCACAGGCCTCACCAGTTGCCAAAGGAGTCTAAAACACACAAAAAAAGTTAAGAACTGCTGCTTTTAGAGGGATACTTGGTATCTCATGTGTGATTACTACTTACTCTCCAAAATAGTATATAAACAGAAAATCATCAATTTTCTATAGACACATTTCACTGTAAAGCAACAAATTTATTTGTAATATCCATGTAATTACCTTTTGAAATAGTTAGTGCTGGTGACCACTGTGACCGTAGAATATCAAGACAAATGCTGCCATTACTGTTAATATTTGGATGGTAAATTCTTGTTGTAAATGCAACCTAAAAAAAGTTTCACATGAATTGGTTTACTGAAGTTATTTAAAAAATGCATAAAGGAAAGTAATTCACATAGTTTTGCCTACCTTAGGTGGTTTGAAGGGATAATCTGTCGGGAAATGAATTGTCAAGAAAAATACTCCACCCTGATAGGGACTATCATTCTGTTGACGAAGAGGAAAAAGTTGTTATGATGAACGACTTATACAGGCTATTCTACACTGAAATTAATTTGAATACTTACTGGCCCCATTATTGTAGCTTGCCAATGGAACACTGAAAGAGAACAAGAAATCATTAGGTATTACTCCAAATATAAACTACTATAACTTCTTTTCTAAACTTAGTTCATATTTGGTTATTACTCATCATTGAGAAGCTCAATGTACATTATAAATATCTGATATTGAAACCAGGACACAATGAATTTACTTTACGAATAGGAATTAGAAGCATGAGTCAAGTGAGAACCTAGAAAGAAACCTAGTCTAGCTGTCATTCTAAAATCCTGTCGTAAAACTAATTAAAAATAATTATGATTGAAATACTTTGAAATTTGTCAAGATTTCGTAGATTCAAGATTACACAGAATAAAAGCCTAAAATAATATCATTATCCTATAACAGGGGTCTTAGTAATATAGTGAAACTTCATTATGATTCTGGTAGTAATGGACAGGAGTAACAGACAGTCCAATATGGATAAGTAAAATTTTAATATGGCAATTATAAAGAGGTAAGAGGTAGCGAGGTGGATCAGTGGTTAGAGTCCTGAGCCTGGAATAAAGAAAATCTAAGGTCAAATCCAGCCTCAGATACTTACTAGCTGTGTGACCTCGGGTAAGTTACTTCACCTCTTTTTGCCTTGATACACCAGAGAAGGAAATGACAAAGCACTCCAGTATCTTTGTCAAGGAAAGCCCACGGAAAATATGGTTCACAAGGTCACAAATCGTTACATATGAACAAGATTAATAAGAACCTTAATCTTAGTGTCTAAAGCAGGGTTTCTTAACCCTAGCATCTGTGAACAATAATGTTCTGATAGAAACATTTCATTGTAACTAGTTTCCTTTGTAATCCTATTTTAGTTTATGTATTTAAAAATATTATTCTGAGTAGTCCACAAGGTTTTAAACTATCAAAGAAGTTCACATCATAAAAAAGGTTAAGAACCCTTGATCTAGAGTTATCTGCACTTCAAAAAAGATGAACTGCAAAGCCCTGCTGAAAGTTAAGGCTTGTCCATAAGCTTTAATGGGCCACAGAGATTAGAAGGTTATTTTTCAAGTAAAACTTTTTCGCAAAAGAAACATAAGACAAAATATTTTCCAAAAATAATACAATCCTTGAAAGACAGAGTGTGTGTGTGTGTGTGTGTGTGTGTGTCTATCAATGTTAGCAAGTAAACATAGTATTGCAATATAAATTACAAAGGTCTACCTATAAGCCATTTCAAATTCAGCCTACAGTCTGCAGACTATGCAGAGATTACAGTCCAAACACACTGGCTTCTGTAATAAGACAGACACATGAATGATGAACATCAGTCTAAGAAATTAGAAGAGGTCCGATTTATCTCCCTGACAAATTTTAACTAGCTCACTGGGGAATGAACCTACAAAGATAATGGGTAGGAACTGTTGCTATTTTCCTCAGCATACAGCCCAAAAGAATGGGGTTAACACTCCTATGGCATCACAGGCTAATTTAAGATGAATATATTCAAACATTTTTGGTGAATAGATTACTTCATCTTTTTCTAAGTTATACCAGAAATCTTTTGGCCTGGAGAAACCAGAATTTGTTTCTGCTTTGATTTGCCTTTTGTCACAAAAACTGTTAATAATATGAATCAAATGTCTTAGTAATAAGGCTCATTAGACAAAAGTGTTGGACTAGGGATTAGGAGATGGATTTCTTTTACAGTGTAAACAATTAAACTATAATGGGACACACATCTCCTGTTAGTTTATATTATTTAGAACAAATATAAATTACTCTGTGCTTATTTGGGGCTTAACTAGAGAAGTATAAGTTTCTTAAAGATAAAAGCCAAGTGCTAATTTGTCACATATCTCCTATGAGGATTTAGTATGATCTTTTGCATACATGGTAGGTATTTTAAAATGTTTCAAATAAATCCATTAATAGTCAATTAGCTATAATATCAAACCACCAAAGGCTGACTGATTTCTTTTTAAAACTTTAAAAAAAAAGTGGTAAGTTCATAATGGACCAAATATCACACTTAAAATAATATAACTTGCTCAAAAGATAATGGCCAAATGCCTAAGAGTCCTTTATTTCCTTGGTACAAGGAAATGCATACAGGACAATTAAGAGCTACTCCTGGTTATCTAGCAAGAATGTATAGACAACTCAGGAGTAGTAGCACCTAAAAGCACAAGTAAGGCAAAATATACATTAATATGAACTTCGGATTAGTAGAATGATATCCAGAACAAATCTGGAGAAAGATTTTTTAAAGGGGGAATATTCTACCTTTTTTTTTAAAATCAGGAACCTTTTTATTAAAATCAATTTAAGCTAAATTGCTAATTTCATGTAATAATTTTAGCAGGAGGAACCAGAAAGGTACTGGGTAGGGCTTGAATAATAGATTTTTTTTAAAGGAAAAAAACCCTAACTCCTTGCTTCTAACAATCTCAATATCTATACAGTATTTTATTTTTCTGAGTGCTTTCATAGTCAACATTTGAGTTGATACAGCTAGGAAAGGCACAGGGCTCTACACAGATTAAGTGACTCATTCAAGGTAATAACTTAATAGTAAGCAACACAAGGGGCAGCTAGGTGGTGCAGTGGATACAGCACCGGCCCTGAAGGCAGGAGGACCTGAGTTCAAATCTGACCTCAGACCAAACACTTGACACTTACTAGCTGTGTGACCCTGGGCAAGTCACTTAACCCCAACTGCCTTAAAAAAAAAATAGTAAGCAACACAGCTCTCCTGCCTTAGCCCAACATCCATCTAATTACAGTCTTAAGTCAGAAGGTAGTTAAGTATCACGAATAGTACCAAAAACCACATGTTATAGGTCTTCAGGGGAAGGAGAGATCATTTTAAATTAAGTGATAAAAAATTCTAGAGGCCTACATGATGATTATTTGAGCATCAAAACAAAAACAAAAACCACTTCCTCAAGGGTTAAAAAAAAAGGATTAAATGATTTAAAAGTCAGAATAATCCACATAATGAAGTTTTAAAAATCTTTTTCTTATATTTGTCTCCTCCAAAGATTGTATTGGTTCCCCACCTTGGTTTAAAATTTAAAAACCAAAAAACAAAACTAAAACAAAAATAACTTGGCTGAGAGCCAGGTACTAAAAGTACAGTGTTTTTAAGTTGTCACAGCCATTCAATCTCCTGATAGTGGTATTTTGTCATGTTGGTTCAACAACAGAACTTAAAGAAACAAGACACATTTGAGTCAACGACCTTAAGCAGACAAAAGACTTTCATCTTCAAGTTTCTTGAAGCAATTTCTTTGACCAAGGCCGGGTTATCAATGGTAAGGAACGAGCTGTACCTCAAACTAGAAGCCTCCTCTCACATTATGGAGCTCTATAAACAGCTCAGAAAGTTCCATTAAAATATCTACCATCAAAGCTGGTAGCTATATAAGCTTAAGCCAGTGCTATTAGTTGATAAAAATTCCAACCTCATTAAAATCTGCTATTAAAAGTGGTCTAAGAGAGTGTTAAGATAAAAAAAAAAAAGAATATATCCCAGGTGGCTAACTTCTCTTATACTTTTGGTGCTAAGAGAAACTACCACTTTTACTTATTATCAAATCAAATCACATACCCGAAATTGACAAAAGTAGTTTGGTACATAAATTAAAGTCAATTAAGAAGTCTTAAGTTCAACGATTAATCTGGATGAAGTACTGAATTTAAGGATACTAAATATGCCAAAGATAGTATTTGTTAATGTTTGAGAGTCAATCTCAGGAGATGTTTATTCGAATGAAGACATCTCTGGACACCCTACTCAAACAAGAGGGAAAAAAAGAAAGAAAAAAGAAAATTAAGTAGCTTAAGTGATCAACAAGTCCTCAGCTTTTTTTTTCTCCCAAAAAGTAGGTTTTTTCCTGCCTGTTAAATCTTTACAGAATAGTTTTTTTAAAAAAATATACAACAATTTAAAAAAGTCAATATGGAGTCACAAGTAACATCTATTCATAACATAGAGGCTATGGGAAGTAGTTTAGTACAGTGGATGAGAACATAGGATTTCAAGTCAGAAGTGCTAAATTTAAGTCCAGATTTTGCCACTTAATAGTTGTGTGATCTTGTATAAGTCACTGAACCTCAATTTCTTCATCTGTAAAATGGGGTAACTAGTACTTACGCTATATCTCATAGGGCTCTGTCGAGGCTCAATGTGATAATACGTGTAAAACTCTGTGTAGCATATGCCTTAGAGCCAAGACAATTCTTAAGAGCCATTTCAGTCCTAATAGATTGCCTCTGGTTCCAACTAAATTAAGAACAATAAATCTGAGTTTTTAGCATTTTAGACCCTTCTACTTAATCATAACATACTTTTTCCCTCACTCTGGTTCTTTTCTAAAATTTTAGGACCTGATAAAAACCTTTTGCTATAACTCCCTAGTTCTCTCTCTGTTCTTTACAATGAACCTTTTTTAAAGTAAAAATCCTAAAACTAATAAGGCTTACAAGGAACATCTACTTCAACAAATGGGAGGATATCCTAAGTGATGAGACTCAGCTCTTCTCTTTGGGTATCTAAATGTTAGATATTTATGTAGCACCTACGCTATCAAAATATGATAAAGTACAAGGTATTTTATTTAACCTAGGAAGAGTTTTCTGGGCAACAATGTTTTTTTCTACTTGGGTACAAGTAGATTGGAATGTGATTGTGCCAATAATCCTGGTTAACTGCAAAAGCAAAGGCAAATTTCTTCAGATGTGAAAAAACACTTGCATGATAACTCAAAAGAGCAGAGCCTCTGGCCCCCAAAGACTTTGTTATTATGGTGGAACTTTTCAACTGATTTCTCAGCTTTGAGAATTCTGGTTGAAAATCCTGCTGAAAGGAAAAACTACATTTACATGGACAATTTGAAGGAGATAGTTTGTCTCTAAGAAGCATATCACTATCTTTTTTTTTTTTTAAATCCTTAAATACTTAATGGAATGGGCCAGAAGAAGGGGGAAAAACACTAAGATTTTTTTCATCATTTAGTTTTAAGTTTATCATTTATCATATTTACACAATTAATACACCCATACCCATCCCCTTCAACCATAAAGGAATCCTTTTAAAGACTTCCCCTTTAGTTCTTAATGCACTATGCAAACTTGAGTTCACCCATACACACAGCCTTAGAAAAAAATTACAAAATCTTAATAAGATACTCTAATCCCATACTTATTATCATCACAACCCAGGTGGGGAAAAAATGTTATCTTGTACAAATGCTTTAAAAAGTTAATTCTACTTTAAAATCTCAATTTTCTGTGAGTCATAGGCATGAACATACTCAAGGATTTCAGAATGAGAAGTATTATCTGAAACATTCCTCTAGAAAAGTTGGCTAGGCAACTGGATGGCAAAAGAAAATGCTACACCAAAATAGAGACAATATAATTTACAGCTAGCTATTAACAGTAGTGCTAAGTCTATGCAATGAGTTCTTTTAGGTACTAGTAAGTGAGAGTATCCTGAACTCTCAAACTATTGACATTGACTAAATACTAAAGTATTCTTAAGTACATTTCAACATAAAAACACACAAAACACTTTCAAGTCTCTTCATGTGCTTTTTAAGGAAGACAACTTGCTATTTAGAACTGAAGTCAAGATCTTATGCTTGAAATATCCTTGCCACCCCTGCCCCCCCCCCCCAAAAAAGTAGGGTAGGAAACAGGCTACTTATACTAAGTGGATAAAATGGAAGGAGTTCATAGTAGTTATGGGATAAACATATTAAGAGTTTCAGCCAGCTTCTAACTGTACCCTTCTGGCTACCAAAAGTAAGCTTCTGCAGGCAAGTTAAAGTTATACATAGTGCAACTACTTAAAAATAAAAAAAGGTAACTTAAGAAAAGTGCATATTATCTGCTCTATTATCTTACAGTACATGCTCTCATAAAGAAGACTCCTCTCTGGGTCCTACATAGCACTTTGAACTATACAGATTCCGAATGATTTCATTAAGTACTTACTGTCATCTCCAACAGGACCAGCTGAACACTGAGCTGGGGGGTCACGTGCCAGGTCATTCAACTCCTTAAAAAAGAGAGGAGAGTTTTAATCGGTAGGAGGATACTGAAATCTTATCATTTTCAGAGTTGTACTTTTTATAGGATTACGCAGTCTCTTTGCCCTATTTTTCCACTGGCCTCCTCTTCCCAGGGACCAACCTAAAAATCCTGATGACAATGTAATATTAACTTCAGATGAGTCTTCAGAATTATATTATATTAAAGTTGGTATTCTTGTTCAGGAGCTACAAGTATCTTCTTCCCTACTCTCCCTTTCCCCCATTTATCTACTTTTCTGGTCAAGAGTGAAACATTTCAGATTTTAGTAGGTAAATCCTGTTAAAATAAGGATACAGAAAATTTCTGGAGCTCCCTCCTAATAATAATGTTCTATTATTATACAGCAAAGGCAAACAGTTTTCAAATTGGAATCAGAACTTTTGTTTCTTTTTAAGGTCTGAAATTTTCTGCTTCTAAAAACTAAAACAAAAGCGTTTTGCTTAGTTATTTATGCTTTCTATATGCACTGGTATCACTAGTGTGTTAGAAGAATGTACAAAATAAGGAGACCCAGGAACTTGGGTCTCAACTCAAATAGTTCTAAAATGTAAGACATAAATCCAGGTATAGTAGTATGTATTACACCTCAACCCTCAAACACCTCTAGTTTTAAAGTGTTGGTCTTTCCATATATCTCAAGGAATCGAATGGGAAAAATGGAGGGGTTTGGAAGAAGGAAGTCTTATAACTCCTTAATTCTACCACAGATGTTTTCTATAAAAAACTTTATACTATCACCAAAGCATGCATCTCTTTTATATACTGTAGCAATGTTTCTAGTTAAATATAGGATTTTAGAAAATTCTTATTTTCAAAATTTTGAACTAAAACACCAAAAGAGCTATAATAGGAATTTAGCAAGCTTTTTTTTTTTTTTTGCAAACCTATCAAGTATATGGATTTAAGCTGCAATTCTTTCAATTTTTACTCTATTCGAAACAAGAGTTAACATTTTTACATTAAGGTGACATCAAGGAATAAAATCCAGAAGCATCATTATTTTTATTTGTGAGACAGATCTGTCTAAGCTACCCATATTTGACTAGTGTCATTTAAGAAGGGACAACTATAAAATGGGTCTGCTTTAAAGGAAAAAAATAAAATGCTGAGCCAGACATATGTTCCATTAATACAAGTTTAGAGTCCAAATCATAGGAAATAAAAGTTATTCAAAATAGCCAAAGGCAGCATGGATGTAGTGGAAAGAGTGCTAATTCTTGAGAGTCAGAAAACCTGGGTTTATGTTTGGGCTGAGTTAACTGTAAAACCTTGGACAAATCAAAGAAATCTGTAAAATGTGAGGGTTGGTAAGGTCCCTCAGGGTGGTGCTGTCAAATTAAAAAAAAAGGGGGGGGCCATTAACTCATACATTAAGGATCCTTTCAAGCCAAATATCAACAAGTTTTAAAATGTAAAAATTATGTTTATTATGTCTATTAAGTATTTCCCAATTATATTTTAATCTGGTTTAGGCTGCACCTGGGAAAATTAGTGACTACACGCCACATGTTTGACATGTCTGTGTTACAGCTCTAAATCTATGACCCTTCAAAAATTATGTATCGAGTACAACAGGAAACAAACACAAAGTCCCAGCCCTCAGCTTACAATTCAGAAGGGAGAAAAAAGCAAGTATATAAGCAACTGATAAATTACAAAGCATAACATGGTAACCTCCACAAGAAGCATTTTATAAAGTGAAAGAAAGATCCAAAGGAGGAAAGGGAGAGAGGCTTATTTAAACTAAGCTTGGGAGGATGAATAGCATCTTCAATGTGGAAGGAAAGGAGAACTTTGCTGGCAAAGGCACCAAGGTCTCTTATTTGTGTTTATTCCTGTACAGTCTTCCATTTTCTCAAGAAGGTTCTAGAATACAACTCTCTCCTACAGCCAGCCACTGACTAGCTTAATCAACAATCTCAAGAAGTCACTAAGAATACATATGCAATAAGCAAAGAATCTTTAAATATCCATCCCTACCCAGCTTGTCTGCCATGGCTCCCCAAAGTTATTTAAGCCTTTCCATTCTCTTCTAGCTAGTAGCAAGCAGCTGAAAACAGCCTATCAACAGTGGCTGTGAAATCAGCAGTCTCCTTACAGGATTACAAATAACTGAAGTTTGGGCAGAGATTAGGATGGCAAAGGACAGCTACAGATAAAACCTCCTACAAACAGTCCTAATATATTTGTTACCAAATTCTATTTCTTTCCTTCAATATTGCTTCTCTTAGATTTCAGACCTAATCATAGAAAATCGAAAGAAGGTGGGAGAACCATAGATGAACAAGGCACAGAAAAGCTAAGTATACTTAAAAAAAAAGTTAAGAATACTCACAATAATCTAATACAGAAGCTTCAATTCAACAGATATTTATTTAAGACCTGCTATGTACACAGCACTGTGCTAAATATCATAGACTAGTATTTTTTTAAGGTAGAAGTTTATTCCTACTCTCAAGGAGACTGCAATCATTTAGATGAGATAATATACACACTTTATTGTTCGGCAGTGTCCAACTCTTCATGACCCCATAGACCACAGCACACCAGCCAAATTTTAATACTGTACATGGGGTTTTCTTAGCAAAGATACTGGAGTGGTTTGTCATTTCCTTCTCCAGCGGAACACCTTTTGTCAGAACTCTCCACTATGACCTGTCCATCTTAAGTAGTCCTTTACAGCATAGCTCATAGTTTCATTGAGCTACACAAGCCCCTCTGCCACAACAAGGCAGTGATCCAGGAGGGGAATATGCACACTATCAGACTATAAATTATATTAAAGTTATAACTAATCTTATCTGAACACTGTACCTCCCCAGAACTTAACATAGTAGATGCTAAATGTGTTTGTTGAATGTATATACATAAAAAGTTAAAAAAAATCCCAAAGTTATATAGCAGTAAAAGACAAGACAAAATATATGTTACCATAAGGAACTACAAGAGTCATGCCCAGGTACAAACACAAATGCTCTAAGAGTTAAAAGTCCAATCACTGTGGGTTGAGAGCAGTCAGGAAACCTTCATGGTACAGTAGAAAAAGCATTTCCTCTGTAATCAGAAGATGGAGGTTCAAACCTTACCTTAGATGCTTACTCTGGAGTGACATTGGGGCAAGTCACTTAACATCCCTGGACCCCAGTTTCCTTATCAGCAAAATGAAAAGGTTGGACAAGATGGTCTCTGAGACTCATTAGGTAAAGAGAAATGCAGAAAACAAAACCATAAGAAAGAATGCACTGTGAATCCAAAGGGAAGCAAGATGTCTGTGGAAGAAAATCTCTGAAGGTAAAGAGTAGTACTATAGTTAGAAAGCTAATTTGCAGTAAGAATACTGGGCTAAAGATTATGGACTTTATCCTTAGGTTAAGACTCAAGAGAAATTGGGGGTTATTCACCTAGTAGTAGTAGTAGTAGAAACAGTGAGATTAGAAGAATTTTCTGTCTGGAGAGAGATTCAGAGGCCCTAAGATTATCCTTCATGAAAACTGCAGTAGACAGTAAAACCTAACAGGTATGCTAATTTTTATATATTCTATAAAACTGTCAACTACATCCAGATGAAAAAGTAGTCTTGGTTTAAATATAGATTACAGCACTAAAATGAGATGAGGGAGGGAGAAGATAAATAGGTACACAAAAATTACTGTATAAAAATTTTACAGCAGATTTGCTTTAATAAAGAAGTCTTAAATACTTTTATGATTACTGCTTTCTTTATTTTGTCACTTACATTTGTTCTTTTACCATGAGTACAATTATACACTGAATTCGAGTTTTGTGAAAGACAGGTCTTGGGAGTTAAAAAAAAACAAAATCACCAAAAACTGTGGCCTATATTCTGACCAATATAGTAATAGAAAAAGAGTAGAAAAAGTAATTAGAATAAAATTATTCTTAAAGCTAATAAAAGCTACTAATACTGGTAATGATCTAAATACAACACTAAAACATGTTAATACGTTACATTCTTTTAAAAGTTTGTGGTTTTAACTAAATTCATATTCACAAAGTAATTTTTTCTTCTTTTCTGCTCCAGTTAAAATTGACCTGTATTCAGATTTGTAGCATAGATATAGGTCAAAACATGTTAAGGTAAGGTCAAATCCAAAATTCAGGTAGTAATTTGTTCTTTCCCATAAACAACTGTTCCCCACTGAAAAGCATAAATACCTAATGAAATGTACAATACCCAAATTAGCAAACTTTTTAAAGCTGAAAAAATATTTTATTGATGCTTTTTAAATATCCATCATTATCCACTAGTCCATTCTCCCCCACTGCACCCCAGTAGATGCCCTTCCCTTACAACAAATATGCAGTCAAGAAAAACAAATCAACATAATGGCTGTGTCTAAGGATGCATATCATTTTGTACCTCTTTTCCACCACTAAATTAAGGGAGTTACTATTTGAAAGAGGTTAAAACAAAGTCCTTTGATATGACTGAAAATCCATAAAATTCTTTAAAAAAAAAAAACCAAAAAACCTATTTACAGTACATCTTACTTTAAAGCTAAGAGGTCCTAAAGATAAATTCCTCTGGAAAACCTGCAACTTCAAGTGCACTAAGTTACTATTCAGTTTCTCTATAAGGTATTTCTATATTTGGAGGTATTAAGCTATACTTTCAGAAGATAAGGCACAGTTGCAAAGATATAACTCCTTTGGATTTTAAGGGCCATAAACAATTTTCATAGCTTCTAGCTTTCATATGCTTACTTCTACAAAGTTTATTTGTATCTAAACTGACAACAATGTAATTTCCTTTTTACATAGTAAGGAATTTCCACACTGATCTTCATGAAAGTAATAAATATGTTCAATTGAGAAACATTGTTTTTGGTCTTGGGCAAGAATTTTTAAACCTTTTTTTTTGTGTCACAGTCCCCCCTCTGGCAGTCTGGTGAAACCTATGGATTCCTTTTCAGAATGATATTTTAGATGCATAAAATAAAATAC